CATGAAATGTAAAAAAAGGCTATTTTCACATCACTAGCATGAACACTTCCCTGATTGCATTTTCTAACAACCTTTATATAAATGCGATTATTTTTAAGACAAACTAAAAAGTTTAAAATTTAATTTATTCATCGGAACATCATAAAATGAAGTAATTAACAAATATTCTATTTTATTTATTAATATAATTATTTCTTTTATTTATTAATAATATTTATTAATAATGTTTATTAATATAATTATTTTACTTTTAGATCAAAAAAATTAATTCTTCTATTCGTTCTCATCATAATTCTATTTATATCAATTGTAGCATCCATTAGATGTGGTGGTATAAATTGTAAATCCAAACTTGCGTGTTGTAATAAAGATAATAAATGTTGCCCAGAAAAAGGTTGGGTATGTGATCCAAATGGTATTTGTAGACCACAAAAAGTACCGGGAAAACCATGTGAATCTGGATTTCAAACTTGTGGAAATACGTGCTGTGGTCACTTTGGTGAATGCTGTGGAAAAGGAGAAAAATTTTGTTGTTACCCTGCACAAAAATGTAGATGTATTTTTGATCAATGTGGGTGTTGGATTATATAAAAAATTATTATCAAATGTATTTAATGTTTTACATACGATAAAAATAATTGATTACTGAGCATTATGAGAAGTTTATTCATCAGAAAAGTTTGTTCATGTGATATATATAACTGTAAACGGGGATAGTCAAATATTATTTTGATAGCTTTAAAATATTTTGATTAATTTTTTGCAAATATTTTAATAAATTTCAATTATATAAAATCAAATATTTTATTTTTTTGTTGTATAAAATACATAATATTCAGAATTTTAAGCAATTTAGTACTCAAATTATGTTGATTTTAAAAAAAGGCCTATATAATTAGGTTTATGAAATTACTGTAATATTACGTAATTTTGCGTAAGTTTCGGTAACTTGCTCTTACAAGAAACGTTATTAATTCATGTGATTGAAAGATCAGCATTAAATATTTAAAATATTAAATCAAAGTAGTTAAATAAAGTCATTACGTTATTCAATAATGTTGACTAAGTTTTACAATGCTGGTACTTTATATCACATGTAAAATTTACGTGATATATATATAATACTTTTTTTAAAAAAATCTTCAAAATTTGAATATTTAATTTTAAAATAACGATAACTAGTGTGATCATCACCACTTTTATTTTTAGGGTTAGAATTAGGAATATTATTTTGGTTTAGACAATAATCGAAATGCTCTGGAATAAAGTCTAAGATATTTGTTGGTTTTTTTTTAATATAGAAATTCTAATATATATGCAAAGGATGGCCTTAAATATTAGTGATAATATCGATATTCGCTGTATATATAATAAATCTATAATATATAAGATTATTATATAAATTAAAAACTGGACACTGGTATCAAATGTAAAAAACAATGTACAGTACCTTGCATATCGATATATTTTTATCCAATAATATGATAAACAGTATTGTAAAAATTAGGGATGTTAAGTGGTCTACGGGGAACTGGTTCGGACCGGGTCCGGACCGGACTTTTTAGGGACTAGTAGGGACTAGTTCCAAAACCAGTCCAGCTCTCACATAATATGAATAAAGTATCATTTTTGACACATTAAATAAAATTCGATAAAATGTGAATCAATAATAAATGCGTATGATATTTAAAACTGTGATACTGCATTAAATAAATTATGTAATAACAATAATATATTACATTCTTGTCTCAAATATATGGTGATAAGTTATCGTTATCTTTTTTTTTGAATTACAATTGTAAAAATCGTTATGATTTATATATTAAATAAATTCATTTTCTGCATTCCCACCAAGGTTAATATTTTTTATATTCCCACCAAGATTAATATTATATTAATGTAAAACAGAATTAACTGTACGAGGTACTAAATAATGAAAAAATATTAGAATTAAAGGTCAATGTTGGCTCATATAATAAGTCAATTTAGTAATTATAGAAGTTAAATTTACTGCTATAGATATTTTATTTGTTTTAA